TTGCTGCCTATTGTCTTATCAGGGAAATATTTTCATTTAAAAAAACAGAACAAACTTCCATCACTAATGACCAAATTCTTACTTTCAGAAGAGAACGGCCCTGGAGAAGAAACGTGTAGCTGAGTAGATTCTCTTTTAACCCTTTCAGACTGAAAGAACATGTGCTGTGATAAAGGTTTTATAACAGAAACAGTACTAATACATTCAAATTCAAGTGTTTTTGGTAAATGATTAACACTTAAAATACAGGTAAACGGCAGAGGAAACACATGGAAATGAAGGCAAAGAAAAGAGGAAGGAAACAAAGACGGACAAGTGAAAACACAGGTGACGCCGGGGAAGAGCAGGTCTCAAAACAAGGAAACACAAGAAATAAAATCAAACACACAATACAAGAAGCCTTGAACATGGTACCAACGATGGATGGACATACGTTAGGCGATGCTAACGTATGCTGACCAAAAAGGTGGATCCTTGGAAGGAGACAGAGATTACTTAAGCTCATGATCAATACTTGCCATAATTTCAAAATGTTGTGGACAAAACTCTTTTTTTGTGTGTCTGTAACAACAAAAAAGTTGTTAACAAAAAGTTGTCAAAAACGCCCAATGTATCAAATGCAGTACAAAAAATATATAATAAATATGTAATAAAAATATATCCTACACAACATGATATAGCAAAAAAAAGGATGGATTTTGTTATAAGGGTTATCAAAAAATAAATAAATCTGAATTTTCTGGCTATCTTTTGATGGTTTGCGTCTTACAGGTTTAATTTTGAGTTAATAAAGGGAAATTTGAGTTGATAACCTAAAATGTGAACTGATGGATGATCTCTGCAAACCAAGGGATCATCATTCAATTGTTCACTTTCAGTATTATCAGTAGTGTGTTCTTCTGGTATCTTTCTAGTACTTTATTTTTCTGAATTAAACTGCTACTTTGAGTCAGTGTATAGAAGAAACACTTGGTGACAGTGGGAAGGAAAAACTCATTTTTAACAGGAAGAAACCTCCGGCGGCACCAGGCTCAGGCAGAGGCTGTTGGGGGGTGAGGGGGCGGTGAAACTTGGTCAAATAAAACAGGAAGTAAGCAGACTTTTGGGCTTTTAATTTTAAGTCCATCCTCCTTCTTACTTTTAATTCTGGCATTGATTTTGGATTCTAATTCTGGTGTGGATGCTGTAATGAGACCATTCATGCTACGAGTGAGCTGCACCTGAGGCGTCTGTCAGATCATCCCTCCTTGTTATTTGTTGTTGGTCATCTTATTGGAAATGCTCATTGTCCCTGTCAACCCTTTTACTTCCATTTTGGTCCCCACAAACTCATGTAAAAAAAACACCTGTGTGTTCACCTGCTGGATGTTTTACTTTCTTTGAAACCATCTCATGTTTGCAGAGCAGGTAGTTCTCAAAAGAGCTTGTTTGGTCATGGAAATGTGTTGTAAATACAGAAATATCCAGAGGACGCTTACAATGAAACTGTGAGGGGGAAAAACTGTTTAAATGCACAAACAGCAATGTGTCGCTCTTGAAGACGTTTCTTTGTCACAAATGTTGTCACAAATGCCTGCTTTATAAAAGAACAGTGGCACGCACTGTTACTTGTTCGAACACACACACAAACACACACACACACACACACACACAAACACACTAAAAAGGTGTAATTCAGCAGCAGACTCTGAAAGCGAATTCACCTCTGGGCTCTTCATGTGTGTTTTTTAAAGATTCAATTACCCAGCGATCCCATTGGCTGTTGATCCTTAAAGCGCCATTCATTCAGTTTAGGATGAGAGTGCTCAGGATCAATACTGAATAGGAGCTCCCCATTCAGCTGCAGAATGAACACTCGTCTCCCTGTGTGTGTGAGAGAGAGTGTGTGTGTCTAAATAATGCTCAGTATGCTACAGTCTTCAGATCTACTCCCAAAAAGAGCATCAAACATCAGAATTCTGTTTTTGACCTCAGTGAGTGGGCATTTCTGCCACCTCCGCCTATCAACTGCAGGCACTTTGATTTCTTTGACTGTTTTTCCTTGAACGACTGATTCAGAGGCTGTTAAAGGTCAAACTGTAACTGAACTTTGGTTTCATCGAGATCTAGAGGTGTCCTCATAACAGAGAGGTATGTTATTGTCTCACTGTTGCTGGATAATCCAGTCCAGTCCAAGCTGAATGGGGCGGGAGTTTAAGCATTATCCAGATATTGTTTCCAGTACTTTCCAGTGTGATACTGCCCAAATACAAGCAGCAGTAGATGGTATTTGGCAGGTGGGGGGAAACCTATGATTGGGGGACTTCTTGTGCAGATGCTGCAATCAGCTGACTCCAATATTGACTGCCCTTTGCAATTTTAGCCAAATGTTACATAAGCTGTTACAGCCAGTTTCCAACCCCAAGACACTACAAAGCTGGTATGAAAGGTGGAATTTGTTGAGTGAATCAACATTAACTGCTACCCTTGATGTTACCTAATACTGACCATGAACACTACAGCTGCTCTGCACGAGTGCAGCATAGTTAACTTCATCACAGAATGGAACACATTTTTGCTTGTTCCTCTTCAATAGTGCTGGGTTTTTTCTGAAGACTCCACCATGAACGCATCGCAGGGGCAAAGAGGAAAAGAGGATGTGTTGCAGGTGTGGGAGGTTATCTCCATGCCATCAGCTGTAAGGAACGGCAGGCTGCAACACATTAAAAATAAACTAATTTGACAGTATTACGCATTAATCTGCCTGTGATTAACTGAAGGTGCCAGAACACAATTTCGGATTATTCTTTCACACTTTAGAAACCAATCGACAAGCCCAAAACATCCCATGTTTTTGGCAGATGCTTGACACACCTCAACTTGCTCATTTCGAGATGGAGGAGCAGGAGCTTGACTCAGCCTCCTCACGCTGTCCCTTACCCAGAGAATCCATATGTTAGCCGTGATCTTATTCTTTCAGTCACTACCCAGAGCTCGTGGCCACAGGTGAGGGTAGGATCGATGCATCAAGTGAGCATAAAGCCCTGAAATAATGATACTATTGTCTGTAAACTCTTGTGGTTTAATATATGATCTCTTCCTATGTCCACTGTGAGCGACCATCTTTGAACAGAGGCGGTGGTTTACGACACCAACTCTCTGCCATCTATAATCCAGTTTTGAGATCCCTTCCCAGACGCCTCAACGCCCACTCACATCCTGGGCCATCTGACCTCAGGAATTCGCATGATAAGGTGGGGCCAGGTTTCACAATGAACACACCCGAAACTCTGGCTGATTGTGACCCACACCCAGTTTCACACCTTGGCTCAGGCGATTAGAGGATCATCAGGGGGTCCTTTTGTCCCTCTGTGGGGGGTTACTCCCACTACACTGTAAAAAAATATTCCGTAGAAAAACAGAAAATGTCCTGGTAATTTTCTGCCAGTACATTTTCTGTTTTTTTACGGAGGTTTGACGGACCTTTCTGTAAATGATAAAAGGGAAAATTCTGTAGATTTACAGTATACTCTCTGTACTATTTACGGACATTTCCTTCAGCTATAAAACAGAAAATTCCGTTTATTCACAGTATATTTTCTGTATCATTAACTGATATTTTCCGTTAATAGAAAAATTGACATTTCTGTTTATATTACTATTTCCAAGCACTTCTTTTCACTGTAACTCATTAAATATAGTTCTTTATATCCTTAAACGTACATTTCTATGCAATTACAACCTAGTACACCATGTACTCAAATTCATAAATTAAAACTTAAATTAATTTGTGCTTCGTACACAACAACATTGGTACAATTAATATTAAATATTCTTTTATTCTCCTTAACTCAAACACTATACTAAAATATAATGACAGCATCCATCTTGTCATAAAACTACTAAACAGCTGATACATGAACAAAATAACTCACAAGCTTTCAAATTTGAGCATTTTTATTACCTTGAAATCAGGTTGCCCTCATGTAAATGTGTTTATTTACATTCATTCAAGTGGCTACCAAGTGTTTTCTTCAAACAGGACACCTGACAAACAAAAAATGTCATATTTAACGACATGTTCACATTTAATAATATCCAGAGTACCTTTGAGTTAGAATCACTGCCTTGTGGTAGTTTTGCCTCAGCCAAATGGTTAAGGTGTGGTTTACATCCATCTCTGTCCACTTATGATACAGTATACACATGTAGTCAGTTATAGCCAAACACCTTTGATTACTGAATTGCATTCACTTCATTAATGAAGTGAATGTAATTCACATTTGTGTGAACATTTGTCTGAGATTAACTCTTTGGGCTCTTTACGTTACAATATAACATACTTGAGTCAAAATTTGTTGACTGTTTAAGTGGTGCCACATGAATACAACTGAACAAATCTGAAGAAGATGTTCCTGAACTTTGGGTTTATTCGAACAGGACTGATGGATAACCACAGGACTTTTCCCCATATGATAACTACAACACATAATAAATTAAGACAGATTACTGTCCCAAACTTAAAGATAAAAGTGTATTTACGGGACTTGTTTTGTCAGTGAGGAGCAAAGTATAATTAGAAGTGCTTGTTCTGATGAAAAGTTAAACTGTAAACAGCAGCGTAGTGAATAAGGATCTGTGTCCACGAATCCTCAGCAGTGACAACACTTAAACATCATAGTTCAAAATCCTTAATGCACACCTTTTTCTCCACGGTGTTCAAATTCTCTAAGCTGGTTAAGTAGAGGAAAAAGTCTGACATATTTCATGACCATTAAATGTTAGACAAGGCTCTGAAAACGAGGTTACAGTTACAAACAAAAACCTCTGCTTGTGCGCACAGACCCTAAATCACAACAAATAAGACAATAGTAAGACAAATTACTACAAAGTCTTGTTACCGCTCTTCATATAACAGTGTGACAAAGTCCTGAATGCAGCCTACATGTTAGTACATCAAGGTCCATCTGAGCTTTAAGTAAAATACACACAGCTTTTCCTTGGATTTTAAGTGTTGCTCAGTTCATACAGGAACTGCAGCAGTCGGAGTTAACGTGTCGCTGTGTTGCTCCTCCGTGTCAGCCATTGAGACTAGTCGCAATTTATTCTGAGGAAAAAAAGAGAAACAACAAGACATTTTTAAAAAGTTTGTATTTTTATAATTTTTTTTTACCTAGAGCATAAACAACATAAACAAAAAAAGGATTAGGGCTGTGCGATATGACGATATATATCAGATTACGATATAAAAATGTCTATCGTTTCATATTATACACTATTCTTTGTTTTGTGGTGTTGCAAAATAAACTGTTTACGGCAATATTTTTTTCATGGTTTTGATGGTCACTGTAGTTGCTATATTATTTCTTAAAGTTCTCTCCTTCTCTTATACTTAAAATAACCACACTATGGACGGACAAGTGACTGTTTTTACGCGTACTTTCGTTACCAACAATGAGGATAAAACCATCGTGTGGCTCCGCCGTCCGCTTGTTTATTTTCCACGTAAACCTTTCACAATAAAGCTTAAGTTTCTGTTGAGACTTTTCAAACTAAACTGAAATGATATACATTATTCTCAAACATAAAATTTCAGAATATGCATCAAACAAATGACCTCAAATAAAAACATCAAGTAACTATAAATGGCGCTTACAGTCACCACGCAGATGAAGGCACAGAGAATACCAGCATGGCCAGCAAGGATGAGGCAGAACCAGAAGGACCAGTCAAAAGAAATCGAGGACCTTATTGTTAAATGAGGGGCTACCTCTGTAGCATGGACATGGTTTGGTTATGAAAAGTCTGACACGCCCCAGAAAACTGTACTATGCAAATTATGCCACAAACTGGTCCCCACCACCACTCGAACACGACAAACCTCTTTAACCACCTACACAAGAATCACATGAGAGAGTTTCGAGAGAGTTTACGAATGAAAAGCAAAAAAGAGTCGTCAGGTGCTCAAAATAATCCTTAGACTCAAACGTTAGAACAGGCTTTTCCTTGCAGCACGCCGTGTAATAAATACTCAGAAAGAAAATGGCGGCCATTTAAACTCTTGTCTAAAAATGTATAGTTTCATGCATCGGTCAAAACACTCGACTCCAGGTACACGACGCCCAACTGAAAACATTTCACATAAGTCGAGTTGCCCGAGAATCACAGAATTTACAGAAAATGCACTATTTTGTGTGTATCAGGAGAGATACGTCTTATATTGGGATATGAGATTTTGGTCATATCACGCAGCCCTACAAAGGATTATAATTCACGTAGAGTTGCATACACATAACACCATTCTGTTGCAACAAAAGCAGTTTATAATTAAAGTAACATACATACCTTGAAAAACTAAATCAACCACAACATTAAACTCACCTTGTGTTTGTAGAGAAGGTGATCAGGGTTTTTCTTCATTTCCTGAGACCAGCTGCTCTGGATCATCACCAGCTTGTATCTTCATCTTTTTTTTCCACTCGGGGAAGTCTTTCCTTTTCTTGGCCATTGCTCTGCACTGGAAAACCAAAGTGTGTGATCAAAGGTGAAATAAGGGATATTTTTCCACTGCAGGACTTAAAGTGCTTCAAGTAGTGATAGCTGTTGATCCATTTCTCAAATAATCTGTAAGGATCTGGATTTTTAAGAAAGATACAAATATCTCTGCTTATATTTGGCTAAAAGCTTGATATAGACAAGGCATATAGAACCCCTGCACACCAGCACTGCGCTTACATTATAGTTCAATCAAGAAATAGTTATTATTGATTTATTATTGAATTTTTTTAGTAATAATTTTTAGTATTTAATCACATTAGCACAGTGGGGTGACAAAAATATTCCACATACAAGAAATGCTGCTCAGCATTTCATAAATTACATTTTCAACAAATGTTGGAGTAAAAACACAGTTACAGGGAAAATGTGTCTGTCTGTAAATATTAACTAAACATTTCTATGTGCTACAAAATAGACATACTGTAATTGTAAATGTGCTGAGGTGAAACTATACTTTCAATAATTTTACCACTACAGTCTGTTAACCACCGAAATAATCTATGCTGGTCAGCTAGCTAAAAGTCTTTACTTTAGCAGCCCAAATCAGAGGCTAACATTAGCATTTGCTAGCGTCAGCCAGGAAGGTCTGAGGCTTAAACTAGGGTTAGTGTAACTTTGCCTGAAACCCTTTAAAGTGTACAGTAGAGCCAACTGTAAAACACAGGTATTGATACAGTACTTATTAGAGTCCTAGAATAATTTCTAGAACCATGAAGTTCTCACTTTCCCAGTTATCCACATCGCTGACTTTCGCTAATTAGCTAGTTAGCAGTCACAGCTGTGTAATACCCAGAGAGACACAGACAGCTAACTTTAATATTTATGAAAACTGGTTCAGCCACTGAAGGGCAAAACTGGTGGTATCACAGTAAAAATTATTTTAACATTAACTAAAATAAAGCTTAAGTCATGTTAAACCTAAATAACAATTATTTTAAAAAATGAGTCAGCAAAATATTCCTGACTTGTCTGGAGACAGCCGAAACCAGTTAACAAATAAATTAACAATTCTTTCTAAATAAAAACACGGAGTCTTTTGAAAAACATTATTTTAATAAAACGAAACATAAGTTTTAATACTTACCACAGAAATTTGAAGGCAGTTTCTCCAACTTCAGAATCCAAAATCCAGATGAAGCCTGAAAGAAGCCTAATGGCTGCTCTTGCGCTTACTTTTCCCTCCTTTTCAGTTTCTTTTTCCCACAATGCATTGCAGTAGTTGAGAAATACAGAAAAATACCTGTAAATGACTAATACGGAAAATTCCTTCACGTTTATACAGTAGATTGTACTGTATTTTTACGGATTTTTTTTACAGTGTAGGTTTATATCTGGGACTCTCCACCATTTGACCTTAGAACTGAAGAAGCTTCTCGGATGAGAGGTGAAACGTCTTCAAGCAACTTAAAGAAGTCCAGACGCTTTTCTTTGCAAGCTCCTTTGACTACGATGACCTGGATGACTGAGAACCTTCACAGACATCTCTTCTCTTTATGACATCATATGGCGCTAAGAAGACTGAAACTGGGTGTTCCGAGCAGTCTGCACGTTGACCTCTCAGCTCACAGGGTTTTCTTGTATGTCTTTTATCCTGCCTTCCTTCTCTCTCCCCAACCGGTCTCGGCAGATGGCCCCGCCCCTTCATGCTGGAGGTTTCTTCCTGTTAAAAGGGAGTTTTTCTTCCCCACTGTCACCAAAATGCTTGCTCATAGGGGGTCATATGATTGTTGGGTTCTTCTCTGTATGTATAATTGTAGGGTTTACCTTACAATATAAATCACCTCGAGGCGACTGTTATTGTGATTTGGAGCTATATAAATAAAATTGAACTGAAATCAATTGTACATAAGCCTGACCTCATTATTGGAAACTGTGACCATGTTTAACATGATTATCCACCATTACGGATTTATGAAATCAGAAAGCGTTCTGAAAACGATCATGTTCGAAGAGCAGAAACTGTAAGCTGGATGGATGGATGTGTTGACCAGGATGTTTCTGAATGGGAAGAAGTAAGACTTTGCATCCTTATAGACTGAGTGAGTGAATGAGTCAAGTTATGGTGTGTTACCACTGTTATGATATGAGCACATTAACTTACTCTTTTGAGATAACTTGCTCTGATGTTGGCGTGTCCGCTTACTTTCAACCATGGTCTTTATTAAACAGATAAAAATTTCCAGCCTCTAAAAAGTGGAGAAAAGGGAGATGAAGTATTTATATTCCAGCACTAAAATACTTTTTGGCCTGTTCACCTATGCTGTGTAAGCTGCTTTGCAACCCACCTCCAGCCCTTCTCCTGCCCTGAAAGTTCTATCTGAATATCATTGTCATAGCTGCTGTGATTAATGTTCTCTGCTGATTTCTTGCCCAAAATATTGTTAAACTTACAGACTAAAATTCTCAGGCTGTATGTGTCTGAAGGGTTTCTGTATTTGTGTTTGTTTAGTGGTGAGTGCTGGCCTGATGTGATGGAGCTGAGCAGGCAGTCTGCTGCTGCTGCATCCTCCTCCTCCAGCACATTCAGCAGCTAACCAGGTTAAGTCTGAATCAGATTATCAATTTATGGGCTAAGTTGAAATCTACAGATTGCGGGCAGAAGCGGGAGTGACGGGCTAAGGAGCGCGCTGTCAGGTCAGATTGATGGAGCTGCTCATTCACAGCGACACTGGGCCCATTTATAAAGTAGTAATTGCTGCTGTGATATCGACACTCTTCCTGCTTCAACCCTAACCCCTGCTGTCCTCCTCCTCTTCTTCTGGCTCCATGCATTCGCACACTCATCCACATCACATATTGGGTTCATCTCATCCAAAAGTTTCATTTTGTAAGTAAAATGATTTTCTTTCTCCGTTTGAAGGATCCCACAGCTGCTTGTTTGTCCGCACAGCTAAAAATGTCCAGATTAATGGCTCAGTTTGTCCATTAAAGGCCTTAAAGTAAAATAAATAAATATTTCAGCCAGGGGTTTGAGGGCGATTCTTTTGGTGCCCAATCATTACACCAGAACAGAGACAGAAACAGATGCCACCAAACATTTAGCCTTTAATTGTAAATTTAAACTATGAAAGTGTATACAGTACACCTCCCTAAAAACAAATAAATGAGATTTACTGTCTTATGAGATGTTTACTTTTGGCTAACAGTAAAGAAACTGAAACACATCAAAACGAAAGATTTTTTTTTAATAAAGAAAATAATTCAGTGATACTAGTCACTACATCCAATCTGCCCATATAATTTTTACATGGGCAGACTTTTAATTTTTTTAAAGAAATACAGGCTAAGACCTGTTAAAAATTTCCCCCAATATGAGTGATTCACAGTGTAAAACAACCCTGCTCTATCACACACTGGGGCTGTATCCCAATTCAGGGGCTGCAGCCTTAAAGGCTGCATTTTAAGGCCGATTACGTCACAGCGACGCGACGAAGGCTGTCCCAATTCGAAGGCTGCTCGAAATGCGGCCCTCAAATGCGTCCTTCATTTCCCTGAATTTTAAGGATGTGGCGGTGTAGACTTCATGGCCCAATATATCCCAGAATGCATAGCGCAGCGGTGGGTGTGGATAATTTTGCCGAAAAAAACGGCGGATGAGGGGCGCCCGAAGAGTAAACTTTAAGTAAGTACTGAATATTATGTCACTTATTTATGTGCAAATGTTTAATAACGAAGAACATTAAAACATTACTGCTGGCCACATGTCGGCAAAGTTATGTGACATTAGTGACGTTTGTACAAACTTGGTTTTAAAGCCTTTACTTTAAAATATACGCCGTTCAATAGCTGAGCTTAATCTTACAGAGAATGATCAAAGCGCATGTAGAAACAAACAAACAAATGAACAAAAGATTTTCTCCTTCATTTCTGTCAAACAATGCTGTATGAAACGTTTCCAGCTGTTAGTATCATGGTTGCTTGGCAACCTGGGCAGCGCAACGGAGGGTAGACCATCCCATTTCACAACCCTCGCACTTCCGGCCTTAGCGGTCTTTGAGTACGCGGCCCTTGAGGATCGTTGAGACTGCGTACTTTAAGGCTGCAGACCCTGAATTGGGATACAGCCACTGGGTCTCGGTGCATTTTCATCACCCTCAGTCTCACTTCCCCCTTTAAGACATCTTTCTTCTGATTGGCTGCCCATCATAACGAGCTGGTGGGTGGAGCTTCTCTTGTCTTCTGGGTTCCTGTCTTCCTCTTTTTTTGTTGTTTATGTTGCTTCTCATTCTTAAACCTCCTGATTTAATTTCTCTTTGGTTTCTTAACTTTATTTTTTTTCATTAAATTTTTCTTTACTAGTCGTATTTAGTTTTGATATGTGATTCATGCTTTTTGTTTGGATTTTTGTATATTTTGTTATTTGTTTTTTCATGTTTTTTGGTCTTGGCTACTTTTGTGTTTGTTAGTCCTTGTTCAGGTTGCAGTTCCTCTGCTTCCTTCACTCATGCTCCCTGTGATTTGCTCAGTTTGTTGCCTCTGTGTTTATTTGTGGTCAGTTTTCTCCTGCGTTGATCTAGATTCAGAACATGTTACGGTGCTCATTTTTTCTCCTGCCTTTTTTTCACCTGTGACCTTTTGTTACTTGGCTCTGGACTTTTATTATAAGGACTTTCAGCCCAATTTCAGCCTCTTTGTTTTGTGGAGCTGTGCAGTTGGGTCCTCTCACACCTCATCTTTGTCATTATCTTTGGATCCAAGAATAGAAAAACTTAGATAAACTGAGTGTTTGGAGCCTGAGGTTTCAGCTCACAGGGATTGCTTTACACTCACCTCATTATTAGAAATTTTAATATGAACACCCACCATCTGAGCATCTGCTGCTCACAATAAAAGGTACAAAAAAAAAGAAGAAAAGGTCCACTTTAACATCAGACTGATTCCATTACAGGTTGCACCATCTCCGCCTTCTCTCAGTACGCTAATGACTAGGGATGGGTATCGAAACACGGTTCTTGTTGAGAACCGGTTCCCACTGTTTCAATTCCTTGGAATTGTTTGCCATTTTTGCAAACGATTCCCTTATCGATTCCAGTCGCTCCGAATGACATCACCACGTTGCGGAGCGTCATTTACCTGGCAGGAAACATGGTGGCTCAAATGGTCAAAAGTTTGATTATACTTTAGGAGAACAGATGACAACAGCGCAACTTGCAATGCTTGCAAAGTAGATATTTCATTTAAGGGAGGAAACACTACGAATATGCAAAAGCATTTGCTCACAAAACACGCGATGACCTTAAATGAATGTCATGTTTTTAATTCCGCTCCAGACTTGTGAATCACAACCCAGCAGCAGCGGTGACGTTTGCACGTCCTCTCCCGTTAATGCGGCAGGTAAATAATCAACTAACAGTGCATATTATGTTAGCGCAATCTGCCTTATTACAAAACCTGCCATTACTGTGCATTTAGGTGACCATGATGAGAGAGACAGACAGAGTCTGCCTGGCAGTTCTCGCTGCAGTGTACCGGTATAGCGTCTCCTTTCAGGCCAGGATAGACGAATGTCACCGAGCAGTGACTAAGTTTGTGGTCAAAGGCTTGCACCCATTTGCCACAGCAGATGCCCCCGATTTTCGGTAAGTGAATGTGATTAATTGTAGGCAGGGACATTACTGGATATTCTTGTGTAATTGCTAAAGAATAATTTATGTTACACTTTGTTATTGCTACAGAAGAATATTTATTTTATTATTTTACATTTACAATTTTTTTCCTGAGGACCCTGTGACGCCCCATTGAAGAGCCGTAGGCTGTGGATCTCTTAAGATCTCACTGTTGGGTTTGTAAGGCTATGTTACTCCTAAATTTCTTTCTTGTTCAAAGAGAAGATATAAAACAAAATTCTAAGCTAATCGACCTCAGTGTTCTCCTTTTTAAAAATAAGAATCGATAAGAGAATTGATAAAGAATCGAAAATGGAATTGGAATCATGAAAATCTTATCAATACCCATCCCTACTGATGACTGATAATCACCTTTATATTTTCTCATAATGTTTTCATAATTATGAGATAAGGTCTCAGTTTTTTCTTCTTTTTGTGTCTGAATGTGTTTCAGTTGTAGTTAATATGAAGTGTGATGCGGTCGCATTCTGCTTCATGTCTACAAATTCCTTTCATAACTTCATTTATTAACCATGGCACAATGTCACCTGCACATCAAGGACAAGTAGGAGTATT